TGAGGGAGCAGGATTCAGGTCCTGTGGCAGGCATGAGGCAGGGACAGGGAATGTGCTGCACAGGGGATTACGCGTTCCTACTGAGGTTGAGGGTCCTGTCTTGACGGAGCCGAGGACAGGAGCAGAGAGCTCGGTTCTCATGAGGCCTATCTCTGGGGCAGGAAGGGGCAGGGTGAACGTGGGGAGAAGAGAAGGAAAAATGAAAACTAATATTATTTTAACCACAGAGACAGGAAAAACATGGCCATGGTGAGAGGCCAGAGAGCCCCAGGCAGGGAGGGTGGGGCTGGGTGCCGAAAGGAGGGAGGGCTGCCCAGGAAGGGACACTCAGGGACATCCATACCAGGCAGCCAGACAGGCCAGGGCTCCCAGCACCCCCGCCTGGTGAGTCTGTTTTCAAATCCAGCAGGGCACTCCCGCCTCTGCAGGGCCTGGACCCCGTGGCCCAGCCTGGCGGGACCCTGCATGCGGCACCGCCAGTTCACAGAGCCAACCTTCCGTGAGTTATTGTTACAGTGTAAAGACAAATACCTGCCCAGAGTTCTGCCAGGCACGGGGTGTCAGAAAAGAGGGCAGTTGGGAAGTCACTGCTTCTCATCGTGGACTTTAGTTCACAGGATCAAAACTACCCAAGTAGCTCAATAATCTGCACCTGGCAGGAATCTTGATGTATCTGCACCCAACTTCTGCTGGGAAGTGGGAAGCTGCAGCGTCTGAGGCGAGGAGGTGCCCTGGCCTCCACCCCAGGTCCCCACCTGCTCCACCCCACCTGGCACCCTGCATCTGCCCACTAGCTTTGTAAAACAGGAAGACTTATAGGTCATTCACAGGAATTTATCCAACATCTACTATGGGTTATTTACCAGGTGAGGAGAAATCATAAAGTTCTTCTCTCCTGCAGCAGAGAGGACACACTAATAAAAACAAAACACAGTATTTCTAACTAGTCAAGGCACCAAAATGGCAGAGCCCCTCCCTCAATCCTATGGACAGCAGGTGTGCTGCCTCAGCAGGTTATCCAGGCTCCGGACTATGCTTTATCAACTTTATCTTGACGTTGCATCTGGTTTTCTTTGGTTTTTGTCTTTGCAATGCTGGGGTCTGAACCCAGGGCTTTGTGCATGCCAGGCAAACACTCTACCACTGAGCTCCACCCCCAGACCTGATTAGTCCCGCCTGGTCAGGACTATTAGAGGATTTAAAAGTTCACAGCTAGAATTCATATGCATTGCAGCAAAAAAAAAATCACTAGGTAAATAATGCTTTTTTCACCCATTCTCTTGTCAATGATCACTAAGGCTAGTTCTCTATTTCTGCTACTACAAACAGTACTAAAATGAGTCCTCTCGTACCTACTGCCTGATATACATTAGCAAGAGGTTTCTGAAGCAGATACCTAGAAGTTAAAATGCTGTCCTCATGGGCAAATGTTCGTCCTTACCACGTATCCTAATTCATCCTCTGAAAGAGATGAAGTTCAGAAATCACTGCTGGGGGTGGATTTTTCAGTCCTAAAGGGCTATTAGGAGCAATGGGCAATGTTTACAAAGACAGGCAGGTACACGTGGTTGACACCATTTAAAAGGGAGGAATGAGAAATACAAAATTCAGGGCAGGACTACCTCTGGGTGATGGACGGTGGGGAGTCCAGGAGAACAGGAGGGAGACGGGGCGTGCTGGCAGGGGCCTTGCTCTCGGAGCAACGCTGGTTCTCCTTATTGTGCTTTAATTTATATTAAACAAAGTACTGATCATTCTACAGAAAGAAAAAAACTATTTTTGTAAATGTAGTCAGCACTGAGCCAGGCGTGGGGGCACACACCTGTGATCCCCACTTCTTGGAAGGCGGAGGCAAGAGGATCACCAAGTTCAAAGCCAGCCCTGGCAACTTAGCAAGGCCCTAAACAACTGAGCAAGACCCTTTCTCAAAGTAAAACATAAAAAGGGCTGCAGGGAGGGGACGGAGGTGGGCCTCCAGCAGCACAGGGAGCTCTAAGAGGACAGGGACAATGTTTTCACTGCTCTGATCCCAGTGGCAAGTACCCACAGCTGGGCAGTCAGCATCAGAGTGATATTTGACAAAAGTGAATGTCTCCTTTATAAATGAAGGTGTCAGGGCTGGAGTTGTGGCTCAGCAGTAGGGCGCTCGCCTTGCGTGTGTGAGACCCTGGCACCACATAAAAAATAAATAAATAAAAGATTTTAAAAATAGTTTAAAAAATAAATAAATAAAGGTGTCATAAGCTCCAGAGATTACTCTGGCTTAGAGCGTAGGAAGAGAAAAGAAGATGGCGGAGAAGAGAACAAGAAGCACCTGCTTTAAGATGACAGAGGAGCCCCCAGAGGTGACTGGGAGGGAGAGGTATGGAAAGTAGCAAAGGTGTCAGGAGACTGGCATTGGGCATCTGTGTCAGACACTGGGCTCAGGACCGTCCCTCAAAACTAACAGATGTTAATACCACACGTGTACATACACACATGTGCTGCTGAAACCCCCAAAGGACAGCACATACGCGGGACACAGGCAATGGTGGGTCTTCCCTCCTTAACACTTCTGTACACCTCTCCCGACAGTTTCCTGCTTAACTCAACTACACATACTCCTGGGGAGACCAATATGGGTGAAGCAACGGCACCTGGAGGCTGCATGCAGATTCTCACACTGTCCCCGCACAATGCCTAGAGCTCCTCCCCCAGGCTACTTGCTCCATTGCTGCCCTCTCCTCCTGGCCTCTGAGGAAGGACTCCCCTCCATCCCATCATGTTTGTCTGTTTTTCATGACCTTGACTTTTTAGAGGCCAGGCTGTTTGTTCTGCAGAATGTCCCACTTATGGACTGGTCTGCTTCTCTGGCCATGATCAGCCTTGCAGGGAAGCACAGGTGTGTTCTGCAAACCTGGAGGTGCAGGAGCAAGGTCCCCACCATGACATGAGTTCAAAATTCCAGTGATCAGTGGAAGTTCCCACTCGAGATAATTTTGTCTTCATTATCCTGGAGGAGGTAAGAGTCTGTTCAGACCTCAGGATCCTGTGCGTCCACACCCATTTACCCAGGGGCACTTGGCAGCCAATGAGGATGTCGCCTGAATCTGGCATGGCACTGAGGGTGCAGGACAATGACATCCTAATCCTGCCTTCCTCTCTGCCCTTGCCAGTGGGCCCTCACTCCCTGTTTGGTCTCCATGCAGAACATCACTGTAATCCCTTGGATTTGGTTTGTTTTTACACTTACCTTCAGCTACTGCTCTCACTCTTGTTGATGCTCAAACTGTCCCAAGCTCAGAAGTACCGTGGAGTTTCAGTCTGTCCTTACCAGTTCCCCATGGGTCCCCATGCTCCTCCTTGCTTCCTGCTCAAAGCTAGCTCAACCTACTTTACACTCTTCCAATGTCTGACTCTCCATGGGGCCCTGATTCCTTGTGTGTCAATGATACTAAGACACAAGATGAGCATCTCTACAGAGGACTACCCTGCTTCTCCATCTGCAGAGGGATTTTACTTTTGCTATGGAAAGATGGAAAGACTTGTTCAAGTTTTAATAGCTACGGGCGAGTAACCACTTCAGGGTCTATAGTTTTTTTACTCATTTTAAATAGGATGAAGGATGCTGAGCAGGATTATACCTTGAAGAGAAGTAGCCTCTAGATAGAGTGTGATACTGAAAATAACAAAAAGAATAACCTAAGAAGAAAGATTACAAGGAAGCAGACATAGTTTGCATGCCCCCGACCCCACATCACACACACACACCCCTGCCCCCGTGGAATAAAACAAAACTGGTCCTGGCCTGTTTCCTGATGCTGGGTAAGTCACAAGCGTGACACCATAGTGCCAGAAGAGAGCCCTTGCCCTGGTTGGACACTACACCTGAGGCATCCAGCAGCTCCCACGAGTCACAGCTAGACCTAGCATTTCCTTGACTGATCCCACTGAAATCCACTGGAAGGGTGAGAGGACCACACGTGGACTGGTCTAAAAAGGACATGGGGTTCCACCATGGATCCCAGGCAGTGGACCCCAGAACTAGCAAAATGTCAGTCTGCGGTTTCAAACCTACTCTGAGCACCATGTTTAGGCTGAATGAAAACTCTTGCCACATTCAAGCTCTACCAGTTTCGACAGCAATCTCCTTGTTCCACTGTCACGTGTTTAGAGAAACACAAAGGCGTTTCAGAATTGGCCAATTCGTATGCTAGTGTCACAATATGTTTTATTGAAATCAAAGGTTACTGCTCCTTCCAATAGGGATCCACACTCAGAGCAGGAAGGACAAACAGAGTGTGCGGAAGGCCTTCTGTGCAGTGTTCCTGAACCGTTACGCTCTTTCCCTGTGGTTCTGTACTCCTGAATGCCAAACAAGCACACAGGTGGTTGCTATTGAGCTACCGAGTGAAAGCTATCTGCTGCCTCAGAAATGGAGATCTGTTCTCTTGCACTGCAAGGAGATCTCCAGGCCGTCCTTGGGCCGGTTCTAAGGATCCCAGTACTCCTGCCCAGCTGAGCAATGCACCCGTGACCTGGGAGGCAGGAAGAGGTCAGAGAGCCACTTCCTTTCCTGGCCCCAGGGAAAAGAGCCTCATGTTCTCAAGCAATGCTGCAGAGAACAGGCTGGGGAAATCAGTGCAGGAGGGCCTGGGCTGCTTCCCTCACCTCCTCTCTGAGGGCCAATTCCTGAGACCGGAATGCAGGGGTCTTCAGAAACAAAGTTCCCCCCACCCACCATCAGAAAGCACCGCTGGGCCACACAGAAATTCAGGGCACTTCCAAACATCACTGTCAAGCAAAGAGTTTCTACGTTCCCACAGATTTTGCAACCTAATCAATAGTCATCAACACTGACAACCAGGAGCAAGTAAAGGAAAAAAGCAATAAACATGCTGAATATTTCAATCATGAAAGCTGAATTTTAAAAATAAGCATGGACACACTTCCCTAGTGAAAACAGTCTAGTGCTCATTTAACTTACTTAATTCTTCCTTTTATTTCTTCCTATAATACAGAATCCTAATGATGATACACCGTGGACACTTCAAGAAGACAAACACTGGATGGGCTGCATTGCTCCACTGAAGGAGACCTCCTTTATGCAAACAAATCAAAAAGGTAACTGAAAACGTGCCAAGGGTTATCAAGAGGGTTGTTGATTTTGTCCAAATGTTAGGGAATATTTTGGGAATAATAAGGAAATGTTTCCTCTTATTCAGAGAAAGTGGATTTACACACAAGATTAGGTTGGTAGATGTGTAAGAGAGAAGCAGGCCACCAGGTTGCCAGACAAAACAGAAAAACAAGCCAGAGAGGAAACCCAGTGCAGGCTGAGCATGTTTTAGTAAGATGCATGTGTTTCTGGAGGGGGCAGTGCTCTGGGTAGGTACTACGTAAATCCCATGCAAAGAGCGAGCCCTGGGACTGCATGCCCTCTCCAACCTGAAAACCCAAAACAGCACAATCCTGGGACCCCACACTGCACCAAAGGCACTCAGGACCAGGGCACTCAGGGTCTGGATCAGGCTAAACCTTCTGTATTGTAGCTAGAAAGGAAGGCGAGCGGGCAGGCGAGGGAAGGTAGGCGGGCAGGCGGACAGAAGGCGGGAGGAAATGGAGAGGGGACCTGTATGCTGCTCCCATTACACCTGTCTTTGGACCCCATAAACCCCACTTTCTCATATTTCATTATGTTCCAAAGCAGCAGCAGCAGCAGAGGTGAATCCCTGTGCCAGGCACTGGTTCTGGAGAGCTCCACCTAGGGAGGGTGAACACTTGAACCAGGCAGTCTCCCTTAGGAAGTCCAGCCATGTACAGAGACCTTTTTTAAACACCGTGTCAGGGAGTTAGGAGGCACCTTCTGCATTCCTGAGGCCTCCCAGGGAACCTGGAGGTCACTATCAAAGCAGAGCTCCGCACAATGGAAGCCCTCGAAGGCTCAGCCAAGGGCCTGGCCTTATGCAGCTGCTCCCACCCCTCTTCTCTTGCCACCTGTGCTGCCACTTACCTCTCCTCCTTAAGGGGCTGGGACAGGCTGGAGAGAACAGCACCTCCAAGGAGCAAGAGCAGGGGCAGAAGGACAGTGTCCCCAGAAAGTCTCTCCTTTTCTTTCTGATTCGTTTGGTTCTTGCTTATTTTTACATGACTGTATAAAATCTGCACAGCACGGGACTATTCCCTGCATTTGTAAAATGCCTCTAAGTCCCAGTAGGTCCCTTCAGTGGGAGCTAATCATCTCTTGGAGACGAGAGGAGACTGCTGAGACATCACAAGGTCAAAGTGACGCAGTCTTTTCTATGATCCTGTCCTGTTTTTCAAGCAATCATATTCTTGCATTTTGGCCTGAAAATACACACGGCCTCACTTGCCGTGTCTGCCTTAGGAGGGCTCCTTTGTCGTTCATTTCTCCCTTGACCAGTGTCTGACCTGCCCTTAGGAAAGTCTGCGGCATACTGTGACAAGTGGGACCACAGAGGGAGGGCCCTTATCATCAACACCACTGCTATAAGATGTTCCCAATGCTTCAAGATCAAGGTCATGATGGGAGGTAGCTCATGGCTCATTTGGAGTGTACCTTGAAGATGAGGCCATTTGCCCCTGCGTGAACTTCTGCCCTGGCAGAACAGACAGCGGCTTGGGCAGAAAGGCACCCTCCCCCAGCCAGCCTCGCCCCTACCCAGCAGGTCTCACACCCTTCCATCCTAAAACAGAGCCTCATCTGCAACTACTGCCAAAATAGCAAGACAGAGCTTGAGGAAAAGACCCACAGCTCCCTCCGGATCCTGGAGGCACACCTGGGTCAAGCCACCACCACCACACTCACAGGGGGCGGGAGGCAGAGGTGTGCCAGGCATGGCCAGGATGGTACGTGCAGATTCCGGGCATTCTGGGGAGTCACAGAACAGCACCTGGCCACTAGGAGACCTTTCAACTCAAAAATCCCTGAGTGCCAACGCCTGAGGAAAGGACTTCCTCCAGCTGTCTAGGAGGGGGGAGTCGTGAGTCTCCTGGAACAATTTATGGGAAATCTTTTACATTTTCTATTCATAGTGGCTTCTAGAACATTTCTAAAAGGGAATGCAATGCATTTGGCTCTCATTAAATCGTTTCTGGGAAATTCTTCACCGTTTCACTACACAATTATATTTTACATAGTTCACGTTTTTCCTCTTCAATATACAATGTGTAGTTTTCATTTGAGAATTAAATTCAAGTGAATCCCATAAATACTGACTGGCTACCAGGAGTACTGCCCTAGATGATTGAGGGGACGGTGTCCCTAGCACTGAGACACCAAACCAGACTGGGAGCACAGAGCGGTATGCATTCTCTCAAGCTCTGTGAGACCGACTTCTAGGCAAAAATGTACCTGATGGTCCGAGGATGCCTTACTTAGTTAACTGAAGGCCACTGTCACAGTGGACAGTTAAAAGTGGAAACCAGGTTCCTCCTCACTTGGCATCTGAAGCATGATTTTAGGTTTGATGCTGAATGTCACCAAAGGCCCACTGCGACAGGTTTGGTCCTCAATGTTGCTGAGGGAAGGAGATGGGACTTTCAAGAGGGGCCACAGTGGGAGTGGGAGACCTTGATCATTGAGGACACGCCCTTGAGGGGGTAAAGGGGTTGAGAGAGTCCGGCCTCCCAACCAGCACTTAGTTACAGTAAAAGAAAGCTGACTAACACAATACAAAGCAAGACCATATGCAGAAAGGCCACAGAAAATGGGCAAAGAAGCAAACCCATGTGCTCTGAGCTCAACACGTCAGGGCTAGAGGGAAGAGAATGGCTAAAACCCGAGGAAAGTGTTTGAAGAAGTGAGTTAGGTAATTTTTCTTTCACTGAAAGTCAACAGACTGGCAAAAATCAAATGGCTATAAATATTCCTACTTTAGCCATACGGCACACACAGGGAAAGATACATGGAAGACATTCTTGTGAGGAAAGCAGCATAGAGGCTGGTATGGACCTGCATTTTGGTGTGGAATGCAACTGAATTTCACATTCCCAGTTCCACCTGCCACACCTCCTTGATCCCAGTGCCCTGTGCCCCACCTCCTTGGTTTGACTGGCACAGCGCATCACACGCTGTGCATAAAGCATGATGCCAGCCACCAGAAATACAGGACAGACAAGGCACAACTCTGGCCTGTGGGAGCCACTGTCCTCTGCCCCCCTCCCACAATGTTGGACTAGACATAAATATCATAAGAGCGGGATTTCATGTGTTGTATTCCCAGAGTGCAGGCAACTAATATCTAATACCCTAATATCCTAAATATCATCTAATATCCCAAATATCACGCTAAGACATAATGACTAAACAATGGCACGGTCCGAAAGCCCATGTGCAGTTGAAGCAACACTCAGAAACAAAACAGCCAGAGAGCTGAGTGTGGGGCCAGGGGCCGGGCACAGAACTGTGGACACCAAGAAGGGACTCCACCCTGTCCATCCGAGGCTTGAGGAGAGATGCTCCCCAAGGGAGGTGACATCCCTGCAGAGGGCTCAATGAAAGATCCAAGGGGATGGGGGACCCACAAGGAGGCCAAAGAACCCATGGGATAGAGGAGACAGGGATGAGACCACCAGGGCCTTTGGTTTCCAGGTTACAGTCAGTGATGTGGGTCACCCAGAGGACATTTGCTCTGAGCACCAAATAACCATCTGAATAAATTCCTTCCTGTGCTGTAAATCAGTGCTTCCCATATCCATGAAGAAAATACAGGGTGCTACAACACAGGAAGTTTCTGGAGACACTCATCATTGAGTTTCATATGTAATTCTGAATTTTCTAGGAGCCACATACTTAAAATAGTAAAATTAACTGAAATTAAAAGAGCACATTATATTTAATAAAATAGATAATAAAAATTTAAAATATTAGATATTTTACATTTTTACCACTGAGTCTATAAAATCCAGTGTACATCTGACATCTGCAGCCCATATCCACCTGACTGCCCACTGTTTGGGAGTGCTCAATGGCACTGAGCTATCATTATGGCTAACGGCCGCCACACAAGACAGTACAGATCTGGAATGTCCTTTGGAAACATTTCGTAGAATTTTTGTACAAATATTATCATCTACTCTCTCTGCTTAAAAGTTTATAAAAACAAAACAATAAATATTTCAACACTAAATAAAAAACCCACAGAAAAAGCTCAATTTTGAAAAGGTACCCATAATCATACATTAAAAATGCCAGTTAACTTTTGGATTTTATGTTTATAGGATACTGTTTTATGTCTAATATACACATAGGGTAGGCTGTTTAAAAAAGATCTGTATCAGCTGGGCGCAGTGGCACACGTCTGTAATCCCGGCAGCTCAAGAGGCTGAGGCAGGAGGATTGCAAGTTCAAAGTCAACCTCAGCAAAAGCGAGGCACTAAGCAATTCAGTGAGACCCTGTCTCTAAATAAAATACAAAATAGGGCGGGGGGTGAGGCTCAGTGGTCAAGCACCCCTGAGTTCATTCCCCAGCCCAAAAAAGGTCTGTATCAACAATTTTAATGTGTGATATTTGGACTCATTTTCACAAATCCATAACATTTATCTTTTAAAATATATAATATTTATGACCCAGGTAGAGACCTAATATATTGAATAAGGAGCTATGAGCAAAATGAAAGACTGAGTCTGCTTTCCCAGTTAGTGCCTGGAAGACCACATGCAGGAGAAGTTCCTAGAACGGTGGGGTCACCCTCATTTTAAGAAACACTGGTCTCCATATGACCCACAAGTTCTCACGCTGCTCAGCTTCCCCAGTTTTCCTCTATGATCATCAGAATGTTCTGTTCTTCCCTTTTTATTCCAGAAAGAAAGAAAGAAGGGCAGGAGGGGGCACCCGGTCAGGGGCTGGGCACAGGGGTGGTTCCAGAGCTGTGTGCCCACCCCCATGCCCTTGCTCTGTCCTCCGCGGGTGTGCAGGACTCCTAGAGTAACTCGTCACCTCTCTCCCAGGCCTCTGCCTTCAGAGCCACAAGATGCTCAATTCCACGAGCTCGCCAACGCCAGGCCCGCCCTGCTCCCGGAACACGCTCATCACCCAATACATCATCCCGGTGCTGTACCTTCTGGTCTTCCTGGCAGGGGTCCTGCTCAATGGCGTGTCGGGCTGGGTCTTCCTCTACGTGCCCAGCTCCAAGAGTTTCATTATCTATCTCAAGAACATTGTGGTCGCTGACTTTCTGATGGGCCTGACTTTCCCCTTCAAGATCCTGGGCGACTCGGGCCTGGCCCCCTGGCAGCTGAGCGTGTTCGTGTGCAGGGTCTCGGCCGTGATCTTCTACGTCAGCATGTACGTGGGCATCGTCTTCTTCGGGCTCATCAGCTTCGACAGGTATTACAAAATCGTGAAGCCCCTCCTGACCTCCTTCGTCCAGTCGGTGAGCTACAGCAAGCTGCTGTCGGTGGCCGTGTGGGCGCTCATGCTGCTGCTGGCCGTTCCCAACATCATCCTGACCGACCAGCGCGTCCAGGAAGGCAGGAGAGTGCAGTGCATGGAACTCAAGAACGAGCTAGGACGCAAGTGGCACAAGGCGTCCAACTACGTCTTCGTGGGCATCTTCTGGCTCGTGTTCCTCCTGCTGATTGTCTTCTACACTGCCATCACCAGGAAGATCTTCAAGTCCCACCTCAGCTCCAGAAGGAGATCCATCTCGGTCAAAAGGAAATCCAGCCGCAACATCTTCAGCATCGTGCTTGTGTTCTTTGTCTGTTTTGTGCCTTACCACGTGGCCCGGATCCCCTACACCATGAGTCAAACCGGAACCTACTACAGCTGCCAGGCAAAAGAGATCCTGCTCTACGTGAAAGAATTCACCCTGCTGCTCTCTGCTGCCAATGTGTGTCTGGACCCCGTTATTTATTTCTTCTTATGCCAGCCATTTAGGGAAATCTTATGTAAGAAACTGCACATCTCATTTCAAGCTCAGAATGACTCAGACCCTTGCAGAATCAAAAGGGGCAACACAATGCAGGAAAGCACAGACACGCTGTGAACTTCCGGCCCTTCCCACTAGACCATTACAAGCTCGTGACCACCTCCAGCTGCCGGGAAATGAGCAAGAGCAAAGAACAAGCCACTTGCTCATCACTGGCAAAAGACCCAGCATCACCATCCAATACCGACAGGACTTATGAAGCCCCAGGGGCTCAGTACAACGATCAAATTCAAATGTTTCCAAGCTTTTCTGTAACATTAAAGGGCGTGGGATCCCTTCTGCAGGTTTTCCTAGTACTGACCATTATTTTTCTTGGAAAGAATAATACATACAATCATTCAATCCTATTCCATCAAAATAGCAGGTTTAAATTTATATTAAGTAACCTGAACAGTTAAAGCAGAATTTTAAATTGGTAAATAAAGAAATCCAAGACAATTCACATATGTGTCCTCTTTTTTCATATGCAAGAATTAAGTCAGTAAGATATATGATCTTTGTCAGCAGCAATCTTAAAGACCAGCTTAAAAACAGGCAGAGTTTGATAAAGGGCTGTTTGAAGTGAAAAAGTCAGGTTTTCTCTGATTTGAAGCAGAAAATCAATTAGAAGACCCCTTATTTATTCAAGTCATTTCAAAAGAAAGCAGATTTGAGTTAAGCACTGTGCAGTAAGATCGTAATTTTTACTAATGCAATTTTAAGAATAGTACATGCATGTTAAATATATCTTATAAAAGACCTATTAAGCCATCTAATGAGCTGGAGTTCTGGTATTAGACAAGGTCTAAGATGACTCTACAAGCAAAGCCAGACCCAGGAGGTACTTTCAGCAACTCCCTCTACTCCATAGTATGAGTGCAGATAGGATAATGGAAACACACACACACATACACACACACACACACACACACACACGCATGACATAATTATCTTGTAGGGTGGGGCGAGAGAGTTTCTTAGAAAGCAAATGGATTTGATAAAAAGAAGATCTAGCCAAGCATATAGTGGTGCATGTCTCCCAGCTACTCAGGAGGCTAAGGCAGGAGGAACGCAAGTCAGAGGCCTACCTCCACAACTTATTAAGACTCTGTCTCAAAATAAAAATCAAAGGGGCTGGGGATGGAGCCCAGCGGTAAAGCACCCCCTGGGTTCAAGGCCAGTACTAAGGAAACAAATAGGGAAAAAAAGGAAGAGAATCTAAAACATAAAATAAGTACTGGCAGTTTACACATAACATGAACATTCATATATCACATTTTCTAGAAAACAGATAAATGTGATACATGGAGATATGGAATACGGTTGCTGGTGTAACAACTACCAAGGCACAATTTTTTTTCTGTTTATTAACTGGCTAGAAGACATTCAGTCCATCCTTCAAAGAGTCTTCCCAAATGTTTTTAGTGTTTGTATCTCTTTCATCCTTCACTATATCTGTATCAATAAATAAAATTATTTTCAAGATTGTCAATTTTTTCTTAAAAATAATAGCACAAGGATACACCAGCAGATCTCACAGTCAGGGGATTCTCGACATGCCCCCTTGCACAGGCTCCAGGGGTGAGTCACCTAAAGACTGAACATTCTATTTGTCACTGATATGTTTCAAACTAAGCAGGTCATGCTCAGGACCTCCTCACGGTTTAGGAAAAACCCAGAAAACAGGTGCTGTTGAAGAGGAGCTGGGAAGTGCCCCCACCCATGTCAACCCCCACCTCCCTGCCCACGCCTGCTCAGCACACAGCCAAAACGGACCACAATCCCTAGGCTCCGCAGACGTCCCTGGTGGAAGGGCGTGTCCTGGCTTGGGCCAGTAAACTTGCTAAACAGTCTGGCTGTGCTTATTCTTCATGACTCCCCCTGACCAGGGCCCATGGGTGAATCCTGGAGTCTTAAATGTCCCTTTCTGGGCCACAGGAGAAAGTGAAAGCTCAAAGGAGAAGAGGAAGTGCTCGCCAAGGGATGCTAGTGGCTTGCGTCACCTCCTCAGCGAGGTCTGTCCTTGGGAAAGTCACTCTTCCCTGAGGTGCCAAGGACTGACTGCGTGGTAAGCAGGACCCTGGAGCAGGCTGGTCACGCATGTGCAAGAGTGGTCAGGAAGCAGTGCACAGAGTAGATAAGGGTGCTCTGAAGCCACAGCAGAGGAGCAGCTCCTGTTCCAGCTTGTAGGCTCAGAGCAACATCTGGAAACAAAGGTGCCCTGCCAGCAAATGGGCAGCCAGGACCCCTGGGGTCAGCAGGACAGGGGCAGATGGACAGCAGGGCACTCCCAGCTCCTCCATAGCTAGTAGGTGCACAAGCCCTCCTGCATTCAGGGTGCTCAATGCAGCAGGGGAAGAGGTGCCTGTGAGGACAGAGAAGGCTGCAATGGGTGCAAGCCAAGAGCGGAAGCCAGGATGGCGGTGAGCTGAGAGTTGGCCCACCCCAGAGCAGACGCTCCTAGCTCCAGCCAGTCACTTCCTCATTCTCCACAGGAGATGTAAGACCACCCAGTTTTTTAACTGTTGGGCTAACAACTAAGAAAACGCACCCCTGGAACTAGCTATGCAAAGTGGGTACCCACTCCGCAACATCTGAAATGTAGAAAACTAACAGAAAGGAGCCCAAAGCAGCTTATGACTGCAACTAAACACCTCTCCTGACTAAAGAGCCCCCACTGTGTTACCTCAAGTGAGGTTTCCACATCAGTGCACAGTTAATTCAAGTATCTAAGCTGTTTCATAAAAAGAATATTTGGAATAAGAAGAATCAAGAAATGTCACAGAGGGGCCGGGAGGCGGAGTGAGCCCGGGTGGGGGGCGGGGGAACAGGGGGTGGAGAGCGGGAGCAGGGGGCAGAGAGTCAGCATTGACAAGGGAGTGGGGGCTGAGAGCCAGGGGCCTGGCAGAGAGCAGGGGGCAGGGAATTTAAAGAAAAAGAAACAAGAAAAAAAAAAAAAAAAAGAAATGTCACAGAAAGATCACCATCATGTGAGATGGTGGCACATGGCACCTACCCACAGAGGCGGGTAGCAGCAGCAGGGCTACCCAAAGTCTCCTCCGCCCACACCCTCTTTGCTCAGATGACACAAGTACAGGTTCCTATTGGGAAAGTCACACTTCCCTGTCCTGGTGATTGGCAGGTCTCGGTTCACTGACCACAGGTTGGGACGGCACAGGACCCAATGTGACCCAATGACAGCGAGGCCCAGGCTCTGGAGAAACTTCTGGAAGGGATGCCATACACACGTAAAACCTAGAAGTGCACCCTTCACTTGGGCACCCCACAGACAAAGCTCAGGCGTCCTCTGAATGAAAAGAGGGCAGCTGCAGAAACGGCACAGTGTGAGCCGTGTCCACCTTGGCCTACAGCCATGGCCCCCAGCTCTGGGCATGCCAGCCAGTAAGACGTATTGCACATGCTCAATTTCCCTTGTGGTGGGGAAGGGACACCAGTCAATTGGAAAATCTCAATACACTGGCTTCATCTAAAAGAATGATCTGGAAAACATGTTCATACCAAGCTTTGCTCCTCCTTATATCAGTGAGGTCCGTCATTTCTGTACTCTGTCTTTAACATGTGCCCAAAACCTGATCTTTTTACCAACTTTGGAGACAAAAACTTTCTATGAGTACAAAAATACCTATAACACCAAAGACCATGGACATATTACCACACAGAGCATTGTCTACAGAGGGGATGGGGGTGCCTGGACCTGCTGACCTGCAAGGCCTGCACTACGGCCTGGGGGAACTGTATTGTGCAGTACTCAGCAGAAGAGCCACCACTTCCTTTTGGTCACCTGTTCTCTGTAAGACTCGAGTGATATGCAGATGACCATTTCAAGTCAGGCCATCGCCTGATCATCTGATCAACAGGAAAACACAGGATGAGCGATTCCCTGAGAAAGCCTGCAGACTCCCGGGGCTTTTCCTCACTGCTGGGATTACTTGCTGTTCTTTGAAGGGGCTCACGGCAAGATTCTGAGGCTCCTCCCAGATTCACAGACAGCTGATGTCTTCTTCCCAAGCCTCCTCTCCCCACTTCTACACACCGCCTCAAATGCCTTCAGGACCTGCAATGCAGGACTTTAGACAAGGGGTAACCTTGTGCCATTATCCCCTCCAGGATCCTCAGCCTAACTCTCCCAGTGCAAGTCAGGGCAGGCCCTGGGCGGTACATTCCCTTCTCCCCCAATCCTCTGAATTTGACAGCTGCTAAACCTCCCGGGAAGTTCATGGCAAAGTCCTAAGGAAGGACTATCAGTTGCTTCTGAGGCTTAGGACTGAAAGGAGAAGCCAATCCTCACATTGTTTGTAAAGTAAAAGCCAATTTAAACCACATCAAATCCACCTGCTCATTAATAAGAACATGCAGCCACATAGAAAGTTCTGAATCACATGACCAACTGTGTTTTTTGGTCTGGTTGATATTACAAATATCAGAGGAGAACACAATTTTAAATAAGAAAACCAGAGTCACAATCACTGATGTTCAAAATGAGAGATCAGAAAATCTTGGCCAATGACCTACAAAATGCTATGAGGATTATTTAATATCTACTGAAAATGAACAGAATAAAGATCAATCTATGCCATAGCCAACGATGTGGTGGTTTTCCTTGTAAGCCAGGAAACCACACTGGCTTTCCTCCCCACCACTGGGTCCCTCCTCAGGCCTGCCCCCACCCCTGACCCTGGGGCCTGGACTCCCACGGCTCTGCTCACACCACTCGGTGACTTCACCTCTGCGGAGATTCCCAGCAGCACAGCCCTCCCCCATGACTTCAGACCCTCCTGGCCTCTCACCCAACAGGACTACAATCCTCCCAAGTGGCTTCCTGTCTTCTAGCATCTCCTGACGCAGCGGGCTCCCATAGCTTGCTAATTACAGTCCTTGGGAACATCCAAAATCGGGTCTCAGCCCCTTCCTCTAATAGATCCTGTAATGCCACCCAGATCACAGGAGATTGGGGACCTGAAGCTCTGGACCTCAGTTCTTGGGTCCCGACAAAAGAAAATGTAAAGTCAGGCCAAAAAGTCAAGCCAGAGACTCTTGTTATGACTGAAAGCGGTGTAAGGCTCAAGCAGAGAGCCTTAGCTGCCTCCAGCAGAGAACCACAAACACTGCTGCTGCCACGCCCACTGCTGTCCATGGTCTGCAGTCGT